CCCCTCCCCTCCCCTTCCCCTTCCCCTCTCTTCCCTCCCACTCCCAGTCTCCCACCAGTCCACCACCAAGCTCGTCGCCCCCAACAGCCCGCCTTAAATCACCCCCGCACTCAACCCGCACCGTACCTGGATCACCCCTCGCAAAAAAAGAAAGCCGTTCTATTTTTCTCTCCATCGCTCCCATGCCCAGGCCTCTTCTCGCCGCTCTCCGAACATCCATCCGCCCAGCCCTCACCAGAAACCTCAGGATGTCCTCTTCCATCCCCGTCCCTCAGGATTTCGTACGTCCCGGCCGCTCTCTTTCCACTCGGCGCTGACATCTACCCCAGAACGCTGCCCTCTACAAGCCCTTGGCTGAGGCCGACCCCGAGATCTCTTCTCTCATCGAGAAGGAGACCTGGAGACAGTTCTCTGGTCTCGAGCTCATCGCTTCCGAGGTATGTCCCCCATTTCCACATTCTGTCTCATCGCTGACTCGATCGCCAGAACTTGACCTCTCTCGCCGTCATGGAGGCCAACGGTTCCATCCTCACCAACAAGTACTCTGAGGGTCTCCCCGGTGCCCGATACTACGGTGGTAACGAGTTTATCGATGTCATCGAGAACCTCACCAAGGAGCGTGCTTTGAAGGCGTTCAACCTCGACCCCAAGGTCTGGGGTGTCAACGTCCAGCCTTACTCTGGTTCCACCGCCAAGTAAGTAGCCTCACTATCACAGAGCACACCACTCATACGTATACAGCTTTGCCGCCTTCACCGCCCTCATCAACCCCCAGGACCGTATCATGGGTCTCGGTCTCCCCGACGGTGGTCACCTCACCCACGGCTACTACACCGCCAAGAAGAAGATCACCGCCTCTTCCATCTACTTCCAGTCCTTCCCCTACCGCGTCGACCCCAAGACCGGTATCATCGACTACCCCCAGCTCGAGACCAACGCCAACCTCTACAAGCCCCGTCTCGTCGTCTGCGGCGGTTCCGCCTACCCCCGTGACTGGGACTACGCCCGCCTCCGCAAGATCGCCGACGCCCAGGGCGCCTACCTCTTGTCCGACATGGCCCACATCTCTGGTCTCGTCGCTGCCGCCGAGCAAAACTCGCCTTTCGAGTACTGCGACGTCGTCACCACCACCACCCACAAGACCCTCCGTGGTCCCCGTGCCGGTCTCATCTTCTTCCGAAAGGACAAGGAGGCCGACCTCGAGGCGCGCGTCAACGCGGCCGTCTTCCCCGCGTGCCAGGGTGGGCCCCACAACAACACTATCGCTGGTATCGCCGTCGCCCTCAAGCAGGCTGCCGACCCCGCTTTCAAGGCCTACGCCAAGCAGGTCCGCGCCAACGCCGCTGCTATGGCTGCCGTCCTTTTCAAGCACGGCTACAACCTCCAGACCGACGGTACGGAGAACCACTTGATCCTCTGGGACCTCAGGCCCATCGGCTTGACGGGTTCCAAGGTCGAGAAGATCTGTGATGCCGCTCACATCACCTTGAACAAGAACGCCGTCGCCGGTGACAGTACGTCCCCCCCCCTTTCTCCTTCCTCTTCTCCCTTTACTGACTTGTGCAGCTTCCGCCCTCGTCCCCGGCGGTGTCCGAATCGGCACCTCCGCCCTCACCTCCCGCTCCATGCTCGAACCCGACGTCGAACGCGTCGCCGAGTTCCTCCACCGCGTCGTCCAGATCGCGCTCAAGACCCAGCAAGAAGCCGGCAGCAAGCTCCTCAAGGACTTTGTCAAGGCTTATGAAGGGGAGGGCGAGGCGTCAAAGCTTATTGCAGAGTTGAAGGCGGATGTGGTCAAGTTTGCGACTTCGTTCCCTTTGCCTGGTGTGCCTGACACTGTGAGTATTTCTTTCTGCTTTTTTTTTGGAGTGGGGGGTGAATGCTGATGAGGGGATATAGTCCAAGATCGTCCGACCCGAGGGCGTCTCCGTCTAAGCTCTTTCCCCATCTCGAGGCAAGCTTAAATGTCTAGATAGGGGTGTATAGACATTCGTGTAGCGCAAGTAAGAAAGTAGTAACATACCAAAACCAAAAAAAGCATCAAATTTATCTTCATTCTGCATACGTATAGGGAACGGAGAAAGACAAGCCATCTCATCATGGTTCTTTCTTACCGTCATTTTTCTTTTTCATCTTTTTTAAAAAAAAATTGATTTGTTTTTTTTTGTATAACGCTCATGATTAATGTCATTCATCTGATCCAAAAACCCATTCGTTGCTGCGGTGTTCCTCATCAGTGTTTGCCTGTTCGTACGAATCGGGCTGCAAGCATCTTCGCAGTACTATGTACTGGAGTATTGTACGAGTACTCTCACACTTTCAAGTTTCACAACCTCGTCAAAACCACTCGCGTCATCTTGCCCAACATTACTCGTACTACTACTGTATATCGTCTGGCTCATCCGGTGACGTCGGCACTGTATGTACTTGTAGTTGTACTGCACGATTCTGATACATGAGGGTAAAAACCGGCGTACAGGCATGCATACGTACGTAGCACTGTAGCAGTATATGTAGTTCGGGAAACGCCTCCGGGTTCTTCGGTCAGGTACAACGCCCGGACTCGGGAAACGTGAAACGTCCCCAAAGTCCTTTTGTTCGCCTCAGGAAACGATACGCACTGTCCTCTCATCCCTCATCAGGAGTCAGGGCTACATACAACCAGCTGGGAAATGGTACAGTTATAAAGACGGAGGACATCAGGGGGTTAGTTGCCCCTCTTTCTCTTCTTTCTTCTTCTTTCAGACTTGGACGGCTTATGGTCGGTGTGCGCTATGCCACTGTAAGTCTGTAAGATAGACCAGGTCTCGTGAGTACAGTTATCGGTCCCCCTCTGCCGATTAATCATCCTTCACATACGTGATACGACTACTCTACTTTCGACTTTCGTCGCCACGCTGTCCTGTCCTCTTTCAGCCGGTCTTCTTCACTTTCGACCCCTTTTGCGATCCTTTGCCTCCCCCCCC